AAGTTCATTTATTTATAAAGCACATTTAAAAACAGCCACAAGACTGACCAAAGTGCTGTACATTAAAATCAAACCATAAACACATAAAACAGAAATAATAAAACATATGAATTTAAAACCAATAGGAATGACAGATAAACATTCTGAAGACAGAGTAATAATCAAGACCATAATACAATGTAATAAGAATGGGATATTAGTAGGCCAGATCAAACAAGTGTGTTTTTAAAAGTGACTTAAAAATGGATAGGGAAGGTGCCACTCTATAATCTCAAGTGGCAGATTTTTCCATAACTGAGGCCCAACCACAGAAAAAGCTCGATCCCCTCTACGTTTAAGTCTGGACTGAGGAACTAAAAGGAGATTCTGATCACTGGATCTTAGACTTCTAGTGGGAGTATAAAAATGCAACAGCTCTGAGAGATAACTAGGGGCTTGGTTATGTAAAGATTTATACACCAGTAAGAGAACTTTAAAAATCGATTCTAAATTGAATAGGTGACATGGTTGTGTTATGTCTCCTCTGAATCCGGGTCACGAGATGACGAGTATCGGGCTCCTGCTGGGTGTTTCTGCTGCCAAACTGGGCACCATGGACATGTCCATCACCCGTCTGCTAAGCATCCACATTCCCGCGCTGCTGCCGCCCACCTCCACAGAGCTGGATGTGCCTCACAGCGTGCAAGTGGCCGCTGTGGTCGGCATCGGTCTGGTTTACCAGGGCACCGGTCACCGGCACAACGCAGAGGTGTTACTGGCAGAGATCGGTTCGTGTGTATGATGGCGTCAAATGAAATGAGCTGTTCTCAGTTGTGCTCGTTCATGATTGAATTGTTGAGTTTAGTGTCATATCTGAGTCTGTAACAGCTGTGTGTTGTGTTGTTCCCAAGGACGTCCACCTGGTCCTGAGATGGAGTACTGTACAGATAGGGAGTCCTACTCCCTAGCAGCAGGACTGGCACTTGGCATGGTCTGCCTGGGGGTGAGTCTGTTTCCAAAGAGTTCCTTTTCCTTGCATAGTCAGCAACAACAGAACCCAGCTTGGAGGAGCACAATGACCAAAAAAATCCCTAAATTATCCACTTTTTCAACAGAACTAAAATTAACACACACTATCATTATTGTCTTTAGTCCTGTGCAGTTTGTACATGTCAGTGTACAACTTCTCAAAAATGCCTTTCTGAAGTAGAATTTTTTTTAGTATAATCAGTATAACAATATGAATGTTATATATATTTTTAATTACATTTATTTTATGGAAAAATATGAATATATGATACATTTAAAAATAAATATATAAAAATATGTATTAATATAATTATATATAATATAAAAATATAGAATTATTATTTGTAATATGATATAGTAAAAAATTGATAATAGAAGAATTGGACTGATTTGAATGTAAGATAGTAGAATTAAAATAGAATAATATTTAAGTAAAACTTTATAATTGATCGAAGTACAGTTTGGAAAAATATATGTGACCCTGGAGCACAAAAGCAGTCTTAAGTCGCTGGGGTATATTTGTAGCAATAGCCAAAAAAACATTGTATGGGTTAAAATTATCGATTTTTCTTTTATGCCAGTTGTATCTCGGCCAAATATTGTCCTTTCCTAACAAACCATACATAAATGGAACACTTATTTATTCAGCTTTCATATGATGTATAAATCTCCATTTAAAAAATGGACCCTTATGACTGGTTTTGTGGTCTAGGGTCACATATTTAATATTTTTAGTGTGAATTGCCCATAAACACATTATCATGCGCACAAATTATGGGCTATTTCCAAAAAATCTGATTATATGAATAATATTTGAAATGCCATCTGCAGTAATTTACATCTATTTCTATTTTGCAGAAACGGTGTTTATTATGAAAAGCATGCAGACTCTTTCAGCAAAAGCATGCATTGTGTGCATCTGTGAGAGATGGGAACCAGAATTATTCCCATGCTGACCCAGCTGTTTGCTCTCTGCTTCTCTGCAGCACGGCAGTAACCTGATCGGGATGACTGACCTGAACGTGCCTGAGCAGCTCTATCAGTATATGGTGGGAGGTCATCGGCGCATGCATGCTGGCATCAACAGAGAGAAACACAAGTCTCCCAGCTATCAGATCAAGGTGGAGTCATTACATAACCATCAAAGAGCATGTATTCATCTAGAGATTTTTTGTGCTGAGAATAATGCCACACCACTCATGTGGTCGTGTTTGACAGTTTAAATTATTGTGTGAGAAAGCAAGGGTTGTTCAGAACCACAATACTGATATGCTGTCTGCTGCATACTATTTATCTCGTGCAGTGAACAGTATATAACAATGAATAAAAGTATGGTGAATTGTCAAATGTCCCAGTTCTCTCTCTCTCTCTCTCTCTATATATATATATATATATATATACAGTATCTCACAGAAGTGAGTACACCCTTCACAT